TGTAAGATATGGGAAGGACAAGTTCAGGTGAGGTGGTCAACACAAGATTTAAACACTTGATGGCGTAGGTGTAATTCGTGTTGGTTGAGTTACAACTTGCGAGAGATTAAAATCAGCACACATTTGCAAGAAATTAATACATTCACTAGAATATGGACTGTGATAAGAAGATGCGTTCGACCATATAATATTTGGGTAGTTAAAGTCACCTAGCAACAAGATTGGCACATTTGGAAATCGTACACTAATGTTAATTGCATCATGCAAATCTTCAACAAAAGTAGCACTTATCGACCGCGGTCGATAACAAACACCTAACAGAGACCTTTTTTAACAAACGCGAAGTTCTACCCAACAAGTTCTAAATTGCATACGACTTCTACAGAAGACGAACAAAGATTATCGGCCACGGCAATCAAAACACCACCACCGCACCTTTACCCTCTATCATACCGATAAACATTCAAATTTTGCCGCATTCAGAAAGTTAATTCTTTACAACCCTCGCGGAAAGCCATGTTTCAGTTAGTGCTACCACTCTCAGCATCGCACGAGTCAGTGACCGAGTTCAATTCGTCACATTTAGATGAAACACTCCTGGTATTAGTGAACACAAAAGAAAGTTTATTTACGCTATCGAAAGCCAGTCCACCGTCCCTCGCGTTATGTTATCGCGAAGCGCTAGCCTGTATTGATTCGTCTTCATTGTCAGGTCGTTGACTCTGGGGTTGCGGTCCAGAGTGTGTGGCAAGTTCAAACACAGTGTCATCTACATTGTTGTAACCCTAACACTTGCTGTTGATGTAGAGTTCGTTGTATCTCAGCTTAAAACAGAATTCCGCGTTTTGACAAATTCGACTAGTTTTCTTCGAGCCTGACGCGTAGAGATAGAGTAATCTTCGCTCACATTGATGCCGCTATTTTACAGCTTTGCGCTTGAAAACAAAAATTTGCTGCTTCAATTTAAAACAGAGGAATTTTAAGAGAACTGGCCTGCATTTCTTGTCTGCGAAGGCGCCGAGCCTATATGCGCGTTCAATTATATCCGCAGGAATATGCAAATTCAGGGTGGCTGAGACGAGAGTCTTTAGTTTTTCCTCCGTGTGATTCCAGGTTTCAGAAAGAGAATCCGTTATACCGTAAAACAAAGGATTATCTCGCCGTGAGCGGTCCTCTAGCTAGGCACGTGTAACCCGCAGTCGCGAATTTCGAACTTTGGGACTATCGGTCAACCACCGCAAATCACATAAGTCTTGCTGAATGCCGTCACTGGACCAAGTTTTAGATTCGACAGCAATCAGCCTTCCATCCATGTCTGTGATTTTGTTTTCAATTGATGCTTGGGTTTTTAGAGCGCAGTCTTAGGCGCCCGTTTCCGGCTTGAGCGGCGTCGGCGTCGGCGCAACCGCGCGGTGCATTATGAAAAACGTCCCATAATGCAACGCGCGGGACTCGTGACGTCACGAGGGTCTCTCGCGTTGCATTATGAGAAACTTCAAATGATGAGATGAGTGGACAACATTTATTTCAACCTAGGACAAACGCCAGTCCCCAACGCGGTGGCCACACCGGTGAGACACCACACAAAAGACAGTCCTCAGACATATTTGAGCTTCGAGCCAGCGCGAAATCCGTTCCCCGAATGCCGGGGGGCAACAATTTCAAAGGTAAACTTAGCACGCGACACCCGAACCACGAACACCGCGGCGACTCGCGTCCGCAGGCCTCCCCCGCGCACGATGCACGAGCAGCGCGACCCCGGCCCAAGGGACCGACGCGGCGTGGTCGCTCTCAAGCGTGGCGTCTACGTCCTTGGCGGCGTGAAATGATGATGTGTATCATTATAACGAGGGCCTAAGTCCGCTCCGCCACTCAAAGTCGAGGAGGGAAGTAAGGACCCTCGTCCGGCGCTCGGAGTCGCCGGCACGATGCGCCCATTCTTGCATGGTCGTCGGAAGGTCTTCTCCAAAGAAGAGTAGCCCAGGCTGCTTGACGTTGGGCAACCAGAGCTGCGCACTCCCAAATGAGATGGTGAAGTTTCGGGAGGGCATCTGGGTCTTTGGATCACTGTAAGGAGGAGGGATGAGGAGGAGAAGGGGAGGAAGGAGGGATGAGGAGGGGGAGGGGGGATGAGGAGGAGGAGAAGGGAAGAGGGGAGAAGGAGGAATGAGGAGGGAGGAGGACAGGACGAGGTGGAGGGGAGATGCCAGATACCCGTTGTGCAGGCAAGTGATATCACCATTTATAAATCACAGAGAGGCACGTATGGAAACATGGTGTACTCCTTATCAAAGTGGCCATCTACGTCGGTACGGGTCTGTGCTGTACCCATCCCTCTCTGTGGCACGTCAGAGGACGCTGGTAAGTTGTGTGCCGCCAAAGTCGACAACGGCTTGCTCGTGGTAGCTCTGTATCTCTCGCCTACGGCACTCACCAAATATTTCGTGCAAGACAAAAAGGAAAACATCCCATTGGCCCCGAGGGACGTGCACTCACTGTTCTGCTGTGCCATCTCGGGGGAGCACGCTCAAGACTAATGCTGAGCAAATCAGAAACGCCGAGCAGTCTTCGACAGAGGCAACAGAAAGTAGGATGACATGGAGAGGATCACGTGCTTCGTCAGTGTTGACTCTAACGCTGCCTCGTTCTCCCGCCTTGATCCTGCTGTCCTGTTTCCTGCACCGGCAGAACTTAGACAGTGTGAAGCTTCCAGATGTGAAAACTACATTTCTTTTCTCCCTACAAGTGGTCAGAGAGAACACCAGAATATATATATTTATATCTTTCTCAGGTTGTTTAGCACTGGATATCGCAAGATCGAAATACCTCTAAAGAGGAGCAGGAGGAGAGGAGGAGGAGCAGAGCACGAGGGGAGGAGCATGGGAGGAGGAGAGGGTACTAGTGAGGAGGAGGGGCATACCCTCCCCTCCTCCTCCTCAAGAGGTGGGCTCTAATTTGGCGTTACAGGAATTTGTAAACGTCTTCCATTTTTTATATCATTTACAGTACTGATGAATTTTGAATCATCCTGTTCCATCATTGCTGTGCGCGAAGTCACGCCTTGCAACATTGCCTTCGCTACAGGCTGGTCGCGGCGGATAGTGTGGACTCGTGGAAATAAATTAACAACTTTATGTATTTGTATATCTTTCTTTTTGCCCGACCCGATAGAAAAGATGGGACTTCGCTTTCGGTCCGGTCAGTCTGGTATTGGTCGAGTTCAAGATCGGTCTTTAGAATGAGCGATCATTTTTATATGAACCTTTTCCGCAATGCCTCCAGTGAAATAGTTCACAATAATACTTTAAGTAATTTTAAGGTACAGCTGTCCCAACCTATCCTATTAAATGAATAGTATGAGGTGGCCGTAGAGGAAAATAAATTTTTCATTTAGCATCAAGAATGTCACTAGGCCATCTAATGATATATATTTGGTCAGACCAACGGACACTTGGCAAGTGGAATCCAACAAAAATATTCAAATCCCTGCAAGACAAGACGTCCTGTCGTTGGTGAGAAGTGGGTTGAGAGAATTGTTCGGTCTCAAAGCGAGCTTCGATCGAAAAGAAAGTTGTTATTCCATAACCTTTTAAAGAAGCAACGGTTGGCACATATCGTCTCTCTTAGACAAAAAAAAAACAAAAAAACTTGGCTTTTCAGAGCAAATATTTGGTATAGGTCAGCCTATGGAAGGCCGTTCCGTAGAGGAACAGACGTTCGATAAAGAGGTTGAGATAGAGCTGACAAGGGTTAATCACGTCATGACACAGGACCAAATTGAGATCCTCGAGGGAAATCGGCAGAACACAGCATTGATGCGATAAAGACTGCGTACCAATCTGCACCCGAAATCTGTTCCTAAAAAATGCTGCTTCATCACAGCCCCTACATTAAACTCGTAGCATTGCATTTGCATAACAATGGATATATATTGATCAATCTGCACTTATCACACATGCTCGGGTTTGGTAAAAAGGACGTGTATACCCTCTTTACCCTGGCAGACTGTGAAGTCTTATTACATCCAAATGATTACATTTTTACGTATTGCGATATCATAAAAGTAGAACACGTTGGTAATGTGAAAGCCCCACTTTTGAGAGTCGTATCTTTCGTGTTTGTTGTATCTTCTGAAGAAATGGGAGGCCGGGTAGTCAAGGAGACATGGGAGACATCTTTATGCTCCAGAACCCAAGCATACGCATCTGGCGATGTGCGTGGCATAAAACTATATACAGACAGTCACACCTGACAGTCAGCTTTGGAACCACTCAGATTAGTATACAGAAACCGAAACTAGGTTACAACAACTTCCTCCCACTTAGTATTAGAATCACTCATGTCCAAAACGATCAGGCGGACGCCTAGTTCTGGTACTATGCCTGAGTGCTACACCGACATCAGTAGGCAACCCTCAGTAAGCTGGATGTGGTGATATATTACTGGCTACATCTGAGCTCTGAGTGTCCGCACGACCGGCTTGAGCCATGGGGAGCTCACAACGAACAGAAGCATCACATACACAGCGTCATAAAGCAATGACACACGCGCCTCAAATGACATTCCAGAGCGGCATTCTTGAAACGACCGCTTCAGACGGTCAACATGCACAAAACGCACTTGTCCGTTCACAAACACCAGATACGTCGTTGGAGACTTGACACTCTTGATTGTTCCTTGCCACCACTTCGCAGTTTCTCCACGCACCGTTCTCACGAACACGCGGTCACCCACCGAGAACACTTTCGGTGCACACCTTCGCTTATCAGCGGCACACTTTGTTTTTCTCAACCTTTTCCTGCATCGCCATTTTCATGTCTTGTTTTACAAGAGACAACCTCGTCCTTAGTTTCCTCCCCAAAACAAATCAGCCGGAGTTTTCTGTGTGAAGGTGTGCGGAGAAGTTCTATACGCAGACAGGAAGTTGTCAAGGGGATGTTGCATAGACCTTTTCTGATTATGCTGCTGGTCCTCTAGAAGTTGTTTCAATAGTGATTTCTTTATTGTTTGAACAGCCGCTCTGCTGCGTCGTTGGATTGTGGATGATAGGGTTGGGTCAGGGTGTGCTTCACAGCATTATTACGTAGAAAATCGGTGAATTCTTTCGAGCCAAATTGCAGCCCATTGTCAGTGGCAATCTCAGTGACAATCTCTACTGGTAGTCCGTGGGCTGCGAACCATCCCCTGACTGTCACGATGGTTTGCTGCACGGTGGTTGATGCCATTATCTTAACTTCTAACCACTTCGAGTCAGAGTCCACCGCAACCAACCAAGTCTTGCCTTCCTTCTCTGCAAAGTCTAAATGTATCCTTTGCCACTTGTTAGTACACTTTCTCCATGGCTGCAGAAGGGTATGCTGTCCAATCGACACAACGCTCTGGCACACACCGCACTGCTTCGCTGCATCTTCGAGAGCTTTGTCCATGCTTGGCCATCCGACCGCGGCTCTTGAGACTACTTTCATCTTTGTGATGCCCATGTGTTGCTCATGCAACAAGCTAAGCATGTCATCTTGGAGTGAACTGGGACAATTACTTTGTTGTTCCACACAAGGCAACCTATGTCGACAGAGAGCTCAAACCTTTGAACGAAAAATGGCTGATAGTCATCAGATACTTTTTGGGGCCAACCTCGACAGGTCATCTCTCGTACAGCACTCAAGACATTTTCTTTTGCCGTTTCCCGTTTGACATCTTTCGAGGTTACTGGGAGTTCCCTCGCCGGTGAGAAATAAAATATCTCATCTGAGTTGTCAGTCGTACTGGGCAGGGGTAACTTTGACAGGCCATCAGCGTTATTGATGGCTTTCCCCGACTTGTAAACAATGCGGTAACTGTAGTCTGCCAGGAATGTCAGCCAGCGATAAATGTGGGCCACAGCCACTGCACTAGCTGGTCGCTTAGTGTCAAAAAGTACCGTCCAGGGCTCGTGGTCCGTTAAAATATTGAAGGTGCGTCCATACAAGTACTTCTGAAACTTTTTAACTCCAAACACAATTGCAAGCGCCTCTTTCTCGATGTGGGCATAGTTACGCTCTGCAGGCGTCATCGATCTAGATGCAAATGCAATTGGTTTTTCGACACCGTCTACTATGTTGGACAACAACGCGCCAATACCATACGACGATGCGTCACATGCCAGCTGAATCTCTTTGTGCACATCATACAGCTACAAGATCTGACTCACACAAAAAAGCTTTTTACACGCATTAAAGCTGTTAGCACATTAACTTGACCATTCTCACTCATTGCTTAGTCGCAGAATTGGGCGTGCATAGGATCAAGCAGAGTAGCCAAATTTGGCAAAAATCTTGCGTAATAGTTTACAAGGCCTAAAAATGCCTTAAGCTGGGTCAAGTTCGTTGGTTCGTTGGCTTTGCTAATCGCCTCCACTTTTTCTTCTGTTGGATGTAATCCCCTACTATCCAGCATGTGTCCTAAGTACAGAACCTGCATTTTCCAACATTCACTCGGATGCCGTGAGTGCTCGTACAGCACTCACGGCATCTGATTAATGACTGCCTTAAACATGGCGGGTACACTTGCTACCCCATACGGTATCTCGGGAATCTGAACAGGCGCATGTGAGTGTTCACAGTTAGCAGCTCTTGTGCTTTCCTGTCGAGTTCGAGTTGCAAGAATGCCTTGGAAAGGTCCAGTACTGTGAAAACAGTGCCACCAACTAAGGACGCAAAAATGTTTACAGGAACAGGCGAAGGGTAGTGGTCTACTTTTATGTTGGTGTTCACGGTCACCCGATAGTCACCACAAAGCGGAACAGCAGTGCTGTTTTTCTTTGGCACTATGACCAAGGGCGTAGCCGAGGCACTGTGTCTCACTCGAAAGATGGAACCAGCTTTTTCTAAACCTCCGACAGAGCGTAGGGGACTGGTCTCGCCTTACAGAACACGGGGTTAGTATCCTCGCGCACAACAATGCTACCCTGAAAACCCTTAATCGCGCAATACTCTGGTTCAAACACGTCAGGGAACTTTTCTTGCAAGGACTTTTCTTTGTTGAGAGATTTTTCCTCGTCTAGTGAATTCACCAGCACGAGCTTGGGCCAGTTTAGTCTGATTTTGGCAAGCCAATCTCGGCCAAGAAGAGTCAGCATGCGTCCGTCATACTGGTTCTTAGCTATCACTAGCGGCAAGTGGTACGTCTGACCGTTGTACTCCACTCTGACTTTTGGGCTACCTTTCACAGGCACTGGGGTTTCGTTGTATGTAATAAGTCGCACGTCCACATCAGAGCAATATACACGCGGGAAGTGCTTCATAAACCCCCTCTCTGCCATTAGCGATACAGCCGAACCCGTGTCCAGTTCCATTGAAACCTCTTTAGCATTCATGTTTATATTTACAACAAATGCGGGGCTGTTTGTTACTCGGTTGAGGGTTGTGACAGATAACAGGTCTGTCTCCGGCTCTCCTGATCCTTCAGGTTCTGACTTTTCGTATGAAACGTTCTGCACTGCTTTCGTTTTGCACACTTTAACTACGTAGCCTCTCTTAGAACCTTTAAAACATGCACTGTTAAAAAATGGGCACGTCCCGGGAAGATGCGAATCTCGGCATTGATAGCAACTGGTGCCGGCAATCTTTGGTCGATCATTTTTACAAGCTACCTTGTGGCTGACTCTGCGTCCGCTGTTCTGCTGCTTGGTACAGCCCCGCTTGTTTGGCTTGTTGAACCGGCATTGCCAGTTCACGACGGCGGTGCTCAACGTGGACGGTGGTAGCATCTTCTTAGTGTCCTTGTTTGCGGCTTCCATGGCTGTTGCCACGTTGAAAACGCGCTCCCGCGTGACGTCATTGTCGTCCATGGCAAGCAGACGGCCGCGAATGTCTTCGCTTCGAAGCCCGGCAATCAAGTGGTCTTATAACGCATCCTCCAGGAAAGTGCCGAAGGCGCAAGTGTCTGCTATTGTATTCAGTGCGACGACGAAGTCCAAGATGCTTTCTTCGGGACTGTGGTCACGTCGATGAAATCGGTAACGTTCCGTGACGACCAATAGTTTTGGAGCGTAGTGCTTTCATAGCACCACAACCACCTGGTCATATCCGGCTTCCGTCGGCATTTTCGGCAGAAGTAAGCTGCGCAGCGTCACGTAGGTTTTCTCGCCTAGCACGCTAAGAAGAACGAGCAGCTTCTTGCCTTTGGCAACATCGTTCGCCGCTACATACAACTCAAACCACCCAAGGTACACATCGATGTCACCTGAGTCTGGGCGGAACTTCGGAATCTTCCCCACAGTAGTTGAACCAGTCGACGTCAACGTCGCCATTGCTATGATTCCATCTTTTTTTCACCAAATGTTGTATCTTCTGATGAAATGGGAGGCCGGGTACTCAGGGAGACATCGGAGACATCTTTATGTTCCAGAACCCACGCATACGCGTCACGCGATGGACGAGGCATAAAATTATATACACACAGTCACACCTGGTAGTCAGCATATTCAATTTGTTACAATATGAGAGGGCGATCGTAAAGGACGTCAACACCATTTGTGTGGAGCTCATTGGTGAGAAAAGAACTTAAGTTGCATTTCTAGACGGATCCGGTCGTGTCGCAGCCACTCTGAATATTAGAAAATGCACGTAAAATCTGCACCGTGCTGTGCGAACCATTTTCCGTTTCCCGAGAGAAACGTTTACCGCAGTTTGTGTCGGGCCTCTGTTCCAAGTGGGGAGCGGTCTACTCTGCGACATATGTCAAAGAATATCACCGGTGTTTACAAAGCCAGTAGCTCCGTACCTCGGTCGAAAACTCGTGGCCACCGGCGTAGACGTAGCAGAGCGCGTCAGACAGGTTTCCTCACTTCTGGATGCCCTCAAGAAAAGAATTGGCCAAACATATGGAAACACGAGGGACGAGCTTCCGCAAAAGCACTCCGGTGTAGGTCATAAAAGTGGAAGTACGAGAAACCTTGCCCATTCTACTTGCGGGAAGAGAGACGGAATGTTCTAGACTTTTTTGATACCTAGAAAAGTTTGATCCGGAATTTTTACCCTTCACGAACGATCCTGTTTGTCTACAACCGGCCAACTAGAACTTTTCTCGCTGCCGCCTACATTGTTTGCCGTAGAAATTTGAAATATATTGAGTTCTCTGCCGTCGCTAGTGCAGCCTTCACGGCCGTTTGGGACTTTCACCCACTCTTTTTGTGTCCAGGCTTCTACTATTTCAAACCGAGTTTCCTTCATATTCAATCTAAAATCGTTCGAGCCAATGACGATTCTGCGAGCACTATTGCGTCCAGCGGGTCGGCAAATAAAGTGATTCCGGTACAGGCCTTTGAAAGCTCCCTCTTTTAGTTCCTACACGTTTATCTGAATCGAACTCTGGGCAGCAAGTACGAAAACTATGCATATCGTTCCTATCTTGATATTCTGCTTAGCGCAAACCAAGTAAGTAGAGATCATTCTCTTTCCGCGATGCTCTACGAAAAAGAACCAGTGCACACATCGGAAAAGCTGGAAATTCCGCCGGAGGCCAATGGAATAGCTGCTCCCTTCAAGCGTACCGAGGAATCTACCCTTTGCGATCTGTTCTGTCCGATATTCAGCGACATTTTCGAACAAGAAAAGCTACTACTTAAAGGCGTGGACATCCGCGTCGTGCTGCGGCAAAATATTGAAGACTTCAGACCCTTGGCTGCTTCGACGTTTCAACAAACGCACATTGTTCAGCTTCTTCACATCGTTCTGTTCATTCAACAAGTCCAAGTGGCCCCGACAGTGCTTGTCGGACTTGAATGGCGACTGCGATCTACTCCTACATCATACCTGTTTCGTGGAGTGGAGATCAAAACCAGAACCGTTTCTCCCGGTGCGTCACATTTCGTTCTCGACGACCTCTATCCTCATCGGGCTCCCTCTAAGCTCGTCGTCTTGTTCGTAAATACTGAATCGTTTCAAGAAAGTCGCAAACACGACTGCTTCAAATTCGAACACTATGTGAAAATGGCCGTACTGGACGTCGGTAAATTTCAGCAGACGGAAATTTTCGATTTTCATCAGGATCTTTATATGAAGGCCTATATGAACTTCCTGCATTGACTCAATCGAAAAGGCGTTCCCTTCTCTAAAAGCGCTTTCTTAAAATACTCTTTTCGTCTCGACTACACTTTGAATGCCGACAGGGAAGAGAAGAGTTTATGACAGATCCTCACAGCCAATGGGAAACTCGCCCTGACTTTCAAACAAAATCTAAATAAGGCAGTCACATTCCTGTTTATGTCAGAAACACCGCGCGTTTTGGAAATTGACAAAAAGAGACGGCTCAGGAGCGCTAATTCAAGAAATGAAAGAACACGAATTTTATTCGATGTTTGCAGGGAACTAGTTTTACGCGTTTTCGGTTTCGCGGTACTTTGTCCTGTGACAAGATTGGCAGGAGAGACCAACCCAGAGTTTTTATG